GTTTATCGGATGTTATAAAGAAACAACCGGTAATTAAATTTGTCTATTCTAATTCTGTTAAAACAATTGTATTGGGATGCAGTGCCATGTAAAGGTCTTAGTGCGGGACTGGCGCCCAGGAAATCCTGGGTCCTCATCTTTTGGTGCTGATATGGTTACACGGACTTGGTCAAACTGCGACAAATCAGAATAATTGGAATCTGTCCACATGTTGCAGAAGGAAATCACCCCTGTCTTGCAAATGGAAGGGATATATTTGTGGCACAGCAGCTGGAAGCAGTGAACACAACACATGTAAGATGTCTTGTCTTGGAGAGATTTACGCAGTGGATGCATAAGCTGTTCAGACTGTACTTGGTTTGGAAGTGAAGTGCTTCAGGGTCTCATGACCTTAGCTGGCCACATGATAAGCCCTTCAGAAGGGCACTGTGCATGTCCCTGGATTTTCCTTGGAGATGTTGAGTCTGAAATAACAGCACGGTGCTGCTGGGAGCAGTTTAAGCAGGTTGCTGAAGCTGAGGGTGGAATAAGACCCATGCCCAGGTAAAGGCCACTTGCAGAAGAGCTTGTTTCTAGGCTGCAGGCTTTGTCAGCCTTGCTTTTAGGACCAGGACCTCCTTCCTCCTGGACTTGGTCGCACTGTCAGCTCTTCCTCTCCAGAGCAGAGGAGTCTGTATGTGAAGTTGCCTGGTGACAACTCCAAAAGAGCCCGGTTGGTGTTGGGAGAGCAGTTGGGGAACATCAGCACCTAATTAATGATGCATTTAACGGCCAATCGCTCTTGAAGTGTTGCCTCCAAAGTGTTGATGCTCTTGGTATTTTTGTTTGTCCGAGGTCTTTTGAGTTATTCTTTGCAACTGGGAAGAATCTGTTACTGTAAACAACAGAGTTGTGTTTCTGTTGTAGTACGAGTTGTGCTCAGGGCAGAGGTCCTTAGTTGCCTCTGTTACTTCTGACCCTGGTGATGGTGGGGGCCTTTTTGGTGACTGTTGAGCAGAGAAATGACATGGTAAAACTGTATTAAGATACCCATAAGCAGGCAGGGAAAACTTCCCAGCAGCCAAATGTGTGTCCATAGCCAAGATAAACTAATGTTCTTACCTAGGTAGCATTTCCTAGGGGTTGTTTAGAGTTGGAAGTGTCATACCTGGGCTTATTCCCAGATCTACATAGCCCTGTCGAGAGACTTGAATTGCTGATGGCCCCCCCACCCAGTCCCCTGATTGTTGTCCACCCGGAGTACTGTTGAATTTGGTGGGGTTTGTGGGTGCTCAGCACTTCTGAAAATGATTTTGCAAATTTGTCCCCTTTCCTGTCTGAGGAGCGGTTTGTTTTACCACTGTGGCATTTGAGGGTGATCCCAAATTCATGATTTGTAAATGGCTTTGTAGTTCATAGGCTGTTACCTTTGATGGCCTAAGTTTACTCCTGTACTCAGGTGCTGTAAGAGCCATGCTGTGTCTGCTTCAGGGGCAGGAGTAGGTTACCTTTTGTGTTCTATAGCAGTAATCTGGGGGACACGAATGGGGGACACGAGGGACGACAAAACCCCCACAAGAGAAACAAAAACCTAGCAGGATGTCCTGTTAATGTGTCTTGTTTTAGAGGGCAGTGCAAGTCCACCAGCTTTCTAGGTTTCCATGTAATAGAGGTAGGTAGTATATCAATCCTAATGTGTTTCAGCAGCTTCTTGCACAGCTTTTGTTAGGAGCTTGGGAGAGTGGTTGTCATCACTTCAGCATTCTCCTACCCCTCTTTTGAAGACTTGCTGTGGCCACAGAAGTATAGACACAGATTCTGTGGAGATGCTGGAGAACATGGGGGATTGCTCGTGAACGTATTTCAGGCAGGCTCTGTCTCAACTCCCTGGCTTTTGTTGTAAGATTTAAAAAGACAATCTCTCCAAGTTTGGTACAATCTTCCTTTTCTTGATAGTTCTCAGAGGTGGCTGCTGGGGACTACAGAGTCATCAGGCACAGGCTGTGCTTGAGGGTCTCAGCTCGTCTCCTTGGGAAAGGAGATGATAGGGTCTGCTGCACAGGTGGGAGACTACATTGGTCCAGAACCTGTTTTAGGGCTTAGTGTGTCTCCTAGTCCTGAGCTTGAGGCCATGGAGCTGCTGTTTGCTGGCCACCGTGGTAAATCCAGGTTAAGGAATCCTACCATCCCCTACCACTTGTTCGTTATTTGCAGGACAGCTCCACAGACTTGTGCTAGGCGGGTGACAGATTGCAGTACAGAGATGGGAAGAGGAGCTGGGAAGGAAATCTTTGCCTAGTTTCACTACCAGGGCTGGGACATTGTAAAACTGCAGTCTGAGCTGGAAATCCTGCAGCATCTCTACACTGACATCGACCTGGAATTTATCTGGCTGTCTGCCACGTGCTAAATAAACCCCAAGTCATGTCGGAGGCTCCTTCTACCCCCTTGAATCCCAGCCCCTTTCTGGGATAGCAACCCACAGGCCAGATTTTTCTTCTGTGGAGGTTTTTAAGCAATCACTTTGGAGCCCCTTGAAACTAGATACTAGTGGGAATTCCTGCAAGGCCTCTCTAGCCTTGCTGGCTGTGACATCCTGGAGCGAAAACGTGGCTTGGATTGAGGATTGGTTGGTTGGTAAATTAGTACAAACCCAGCTAGTACAATTGCTTGGATTTCCTAACAAGCAGCAAAGAGGTCTGGGTAGATAAGAAATGTTGAGTACAGTGAGACCACAGGTCTGCGTCTCGGCCATCTGCTGTGTGGTGGTGATTTGTAAGGAAATCGGAGTTGTGCGGTGTGGTCTGGCTTTAGGTCACCTTCCTGCTTGCTTGCTGCTTTTTTTTTTGTGTGTGTTGTTTTGGGTTGTGTGGTTGTTTTTTTTTTTCTCAAATTCTGTGTTCAAGCGATGCCTTTTTACTGCTTGCATCTTTGCAGTGACCTGGCACGTAAGACACTGTCCTCAGAATTAGGACTTGGCTCGTATTACTCTGGCAGGATCGGGAGTTGTCTTTCAGCTGGAAAAGTACCGAGTTTGATTTTTCCTTGAAAGAGATTGCATTTTAAAAAGACGGTTCTGATAGTGTCATATCTGTTTGCCTTCTCAAAAAACTTAACCTTGTTCAAACCTAGCGAGAAGAAGTCAGATGCTCACACATAATCTTCCATGTGCTGTTGGCAGAGGGAAACTGCCCGGGTTGTTGTACATATTTTGGTTTAACTTGTTCCCACTGATGTCTAGCCTTTGGTTCATGTCTCTTGCTTCCCTTGCTAGTGGAAGGAGTCTAATAGAGGGAACGGAGGAGTGATTCATGCTGAGGAAGGAAATTATCTCTTATCTAGGTTGCCTCTAAGCCAGTCCTGGCAGAGCTGACTTTATCCTTGAGAGGCTGAAAAGTTGGTCTAAAAGGTAAATATTTATTCTTTAGAGTGTCTGAAATTGATCTGAGATCCAGGCGTCTGGTGTGGTTGCTGATGGGAAGGGAAGACAGCTGCACTTGTCTGTGTTCACACAGCCCGGTGCGACTCAACCTGCAAGTGGAACACAAACTGTTCTGGAGGAGCGTAATCAAAAACTTGCTGAAATCCCTGTAACCTCATCGACTAAGCAATGTTTTCTCCCACCTCAGTTGCGATAGTAGGTCTGTGGGAAAGCAAGCTATGATGTCTAGCTCCTGGCTTCTCTGGTCTCCCAGCACCAAGCTTCCTGGGATGGAGACTGTTAAAGTATCAGCCCTATTCTGCATCTTAGCAAAGCTCCAGTGGCTTTCACTAAGTCAGCTGGGAGGAAGATCACCACTCAGCGATGTGGCTTTTCCTCAGGGTGTATAGTAGGACACTTAGGGGAACTTCTGTAGTACCAAGTGGAATCATTTCTATACCCTTTCTTTTAAAAACTGCAGTGGAAATTCTGCACGGCTTTTATAGCCAACCTGC